GTCCAATTGCAGTTTGTATCTACTTACCTTGATCAAATTAAATCACTGGCAACAACTGGATGTGGGAGAGACCTCTCTTTCCAGGTTTGACAGTAATCTGCTGATAGATACTCATATCCATATTTTTTGATAAGCATTAACTATATGGCAATTACTTCAAGGTGGGTTTTTTTTTTTTGTTTGTTTTGTTTCTCATAAAAACATGATGAGGACAGTCTCAAAGTTTTACTGAAGTCAAGGTATATGACATGACTATTTCCCTGTCTTTCCCAAGAAAGTTAACCTTCCAAATACAGAAATCCTATTTTTTCCATGACTGATTCTTAATAAAATTATGCCATCTTGTGTTTCCACTTTATCATTCATAAAACCAGCACACACTGGTACTTAGAATTAAATTTTTTTAAAAAACGTATTTCATATATTTCTTGCAATCAAACTGTTTTCAACTGACCTATTATATTCTGGCTCCTCTTCTAGTCACCTTTTATGAAGATACGTTTTCTGTCAGCATCTTTCCCTTCCTCAAAAGTTGCATCTTTCTCAAAGTACTCAAAGGTAAGCGCTTATCATTTAGAGATTGCTTTGGTTCATTCTTTTGGTGAATTACACCAGATCTTCGAGCTGTATCTAGAACCCCTTTAGCTAATTCTTTTTTTGATTAAATTAATAAAAATGCATTTCATGTATTCTATGTCCAAGCTGGACACTTGGAGGCAGACCTCACTCATAAGATGTGATGCAAGACTCTGCATCTGAGGAGTACATGAGATGGTCAGGTATATGAAGAATTGCTAGTTTCAGAGATGAACGGACTGAGACTGCCAAGATACTCTACTCATTCAGTGAAAAAGCCGAATTCATGCCCTGGTAAAGAAGAGAGATTTTACTAAAGAACATAATACAGTTCAAACGTTAGGTTTTAAATTTATATTCTCCTTTCTTTTGATATGTCTCAAATAAATATTTATATCACTGCTGTTTTGAAAACTGTGCCTTTGATTAAAATCTCAAGGGAAATATCAAATCCTATAAACCCAATAAGATTAGACACAAGTTTAACAAGCTTTTTTAAGCTCTTTTTTTTTCTTTCCAACCATCTACAGATTTTTGTTTATTTTATTTATATTACTATATTTTATTTATATCGAACAACGACTCAGGGAACTCAGAAAGCTTCATTTGCGGTCATAAAAGCCTCTGTAGGCATTTGTTTCAAAAGAGAAATTTGCTTTTTCAAAGTTCTGCAGTAGTTACTGGGACTAAAAAAAGCAGGAATAACGACTGAAATTTTGCCTTTATGCCAAATTTGCAGATACGCACATCGGACTCTCCTGACTCCCACATAAAATACTCCATTGTCTTTCAGGCTACAGTATGGTTTGAGGCACATGCAGGCCTTTTGGATCTTGTAGTGCTGGACTTCACAACATCTGTAAAGCTATAGCATTGTTAAATACAAAGCATTGCTGTGATAACATACCCAAGAGGAGACGATAACTCCTGAAGTGTGGTGAAGGATCAGAATTTATTTAATGTTTTTGTTTTCAAACCCAGCCACTTAACTTTTCATTACTGCTAAAGGAAACTTACTACATTAGAGACTAACTATTCTCAGAATTTCATTAAAAATGAATGTCTGCTTTCTGTGGCACAGTAAAACTAGCTTTGGAATCCCCAAACTTTTCAATATTTTAACAGAAATGATCAAAGTATGTTCCTGAAAATTCTCATTACACAGAAATGCTTCTGAGGCTGAAAAACACTATGCCAAGTTAGAACCTGGCAGAAACTCTAGTACACAAACTGTAACACCTGAAGAAAAGATATTTATCCTGTACATGTTAACCTGTTTAATTTATACCACAACATAATTAAGTGGTAAGAAACCCACAAAGGATATATTAATTTGAAGAAGCAAATTATTTAATCCATTGGCCTGCTAGATTTGCTAGGTTATCTGACCTCCTTTAAATTTAAAATATCTGCATCAAAGCAAACACACAAGCCTTCTGCGTATACGTACGGGGTCACCTGGAGGGCCGGGTAGTCCTGGCTTTCCATCTCTTCCTGGGGTGCCCTAGAAACAAAGGTAAATTCGATGGCCTTAAATCACTGATGAGGAACACATTACTTTTTGTTGTATACATAGTGAACAGTCACTTACATTCACACCAGGGGTACCTGGGGTTCCTGGTAATCCTGGGGGTCCCCTAGGGCCCTAAGAGAAGGAAAGGTCACTTAGGACTTAAGAATATTTTTTACTGTAAACTTCTTAAACTAAATTAACATTCTTTATATTTAAAGAGAACACTTATAACCTACCTGCACACCTGTCGATCCAGTTGGACCTATAGGACCCTGGAAGAAAACTCCAAATAATCAGCAGTTACACTTTTTGGGATAAGGGAGACAAATTCATAAAAATATACTGCATGTGCAATATCAGTGCAGTTCTCATTGCAAGACAGACTTGCTCTGAGGTTTGCCTTTGAATCCAAATCTAATTTTGTGAAAATTAGGGAATTCAAGGTTTTGCTGAGGCTCGTTCTTAGGGGCAAGTAATAGCAAAGAATAATGACCTGTGTTGAAACTATTTAGCTAGGAGATTAATAAAGAAAAGCTGATACTCAGCTGAATAAAACCAAATTAGATTATTTAAATATAAATGGGTAATCTTTAAAATTCAGATTTGAAAATATTTTGACTGAATAAATTATTTTTAAGGATTATTATTTTAGATTACGACCTCAGTGTGAATCTCTAGTCACCTTTCTCAATTATTTTCTTTTTGCACCTGAGTCCTGTCAATAAACTGAAATTTATTAGCTGACTATATTGGTCTGGACTGAAGACAGATTGCCCTATTCACCACAGTAGAACTCATGTAATAACATGTACCACCTACACCATCAATCTTTTTTCTGAGTACTCTGAAGACACTGCAGGTGGCTCTATTTAAAGACAGTAGAAAGAAGAAAAAAACCTTGGGAAACAAGCTGAAACAGTTATTGCTATAGAAGTTAGTGCAAATGCCCCAGATACACTGCATCAACTTGCTCCAAATTTGCCTACAACATAAGAGTGATGTGGACTTCTTGGAGCGAGTCCAGAGGAGGCCATGAAGATGCTCAGAGGGCTGGAGCACCTCTGCTATGGGGACAGGCTGAGAGAGTTGGGCTTGTTCAGCCTGGAGAAGAGAAGGCTCCGGGGAGACCTTATAGCACCTTCCAGTACCTGAAGGGGCTACAAGGAAGCTGGGGGGGACTTTTTACAAGGGCCTGTAGTGACAGGACAAGGGGTAATGGGGTTAAATTGAAAGTGGGGAGATTTAAATTAGATATCAGGAAGAAGTTCTTCCTGGAGAGGGTGGTGAGGCACTGGGACAGGTTGCCCAGAGAAGCTGTGGATGTCCCATCCCTGGAAGTGTTCAAGGCCAGGCTGGATGAGGCTTTGAGCAACCTGGTCTAGTGGAAGGTGTCCCTGCCCATGGCAGGGGGGTTGGAACTAGATGGCCTTTAAGGTCCCTTCCAACCCAAGACATTCTATGATTCTATGAAATTTGAACTTAACTTGCACAGAAATGCATGAAGCAAGTGGTGCAAAATCAGAACTTTACTATTTCCTGGCATAATACCCGGCACTGTAAGGTTCTCATTTATAAGCAGGAGGCCTAAGCTTGTAATGAGCAGTCATCACAACAGCAAAGGCTAGGAGCTGATGCAAAGCCTTCCCCATCTCTTCCACGTGTTTTTGTCTTTTTCCAGTACTAGCATGGATTTCAAAGTGCCATCATCTACAAGTATACCTCTTCGCTTGTATCAGTGCTCAGGCTGGATTTTGCTGACAACTGCAAACAGTTGTTGCTTAGAGACAGACACAGTGAGTCTGAAGTTGTCTCAGCACCATCACTAGGAAGCTCATCTGTAAGGCAGCCATTGACTCTTTCAGTTCTCCAAGGCCTCAATTTATCACTTAGCACTAGATCTTTCTGGGTCTGGATAAAGGGAAATGATGCTGAGTTGGGAGTCAGGTCAGAGGGGAGTTTATGGCATGCCTTTTTATTATGCTTTGTTTACTTGTTGCTGTTTCCCAGCGATGCACAGTGAGAAGCCCAAATTCTGCATGTTGGTATACTTACCGGCGATCCCTGAATGCCTATTCCAGGGGGCCCCATCTCCCCAGGGGCTCCTTGTACACCAGGTAGTCCTCGTTCTCCCTGAGAAAGGTACAAGGCTTTCAATTACAACAGGTCTGAAAATATAAACTGGTGTATTATTCCTTAGGGGTTTTTTTTGTTGTTGTTTTTTTTTTAGAAACAGAAATATATTTTTTATACCTTTGGGCCCCGTGGACCTGGGTTACCAGGAATACCAGTGGGACCCTAAAAAAAAAAAGGAAAAAAAAAATTAAGTTTTGAAATCAAAGAGAATAGCTGAATTTTACTGCCAGTATTAGTCAGCCTTTATAAATAAACTATAGGAGATTTACATATGTCCTCCATGTTAATACCACTGTCACTAGGAGACTATATTTAGTGCACTTACAACACCACTATAACATATAATTCAGTTTTGAAAATGCATCCCAAAATACTTGTTCTGATTTCTTTTGTTGCACAATGAGAACTGTTGAACAGTTTTCCTTACAAGAAATAAAGTCATAAAAGTATTTTTCAAATTATGCACTTACTGGTGTTCCAGGCAGACTTGGTCCAGGAGGCCCCACATCACCTTTTGGACCTGGATATCCAGGTGGGCCCATAATCCCACCAGGGTCCCCCTACAAGATAAATTTCAATCACTAATTGAAATGTGAGAATTTACTCTTATGAAAAAAATCTAAATATTATCAAAGTTATCCTAGAAGGTGTCAGTACTTTGAGAAGCAATAGAGAAGGAAAAAAGCCCATATTTTCTTTCAAAAAGTTACAGAAGAAGAGGAGGCATGGGCCACTTAAAAACTAATACTAACCAGCATTCGCTCAGCTTTCTGTGCTTGCAATGCATCGGATCTATATTTCTTTGTCCCCAGGCCCCTAATACACAGGTTGTCATTAAACCCTGTCAATTAATTCACAGTGACAGCTTCAAACTCTCTCCAGCTATCTATCCCTAGTGCTAAAATCCTGCTCTTCACTGTATTCCTGTTTACACCTCTATTTCTGGGGCCCTCAACATCAGAAGAACATGGATTGGTTGGAGTGAATCCTGTAGTGACAGGACAAGGGGTAACGGGTTTAAATTGAAAGCATGTAGATTTGGATTGGATATCAGGAAAATTTTCTTCCTGGAGAGGGAGGTGAGGAACTGGAACAGGTTGCCCAGAGAAGCTGTGGATGCCCCATCCCTGGAAGTGTTCAAGGCTGGATGAGGCTTTGAGCAACCTGGTCTAGTGGAAGGTGTCCCTGCCCATGGCAGGGGGGTTGGAACTAGATGGTCTGTAAGGTCCCTTCCAACCCAAACCATCCTGTGATTCTTACTTCAATGCATGCAGCATCTCTTGCCCCACATCTCTCAAACTCTTCCTCCTTACACAGATGAACGTGTGTCTTTTATCATGGTGTCCTCTTGTCTTTTACATGCTCCTGCATCACTCTCTGTGATTCTTTCAGAATCCACTACTTTCCATTTTGCAACATGGGTACATTCTTGTCATTGTTCTACAGCTATTTTCTTTTCCTGCCTTTCATCAGCTCACTTCTCAAAGTATTTATGAATTCTATTGGTTTCCCTTGTACCCCACCATGTATAAATACTTTTAAGACATGAGATAGCTCACAGTATGCCTGTATATCTTTTCTCCCCTCTTCAACATTCAACATATACACACATATGATTTTTAACTCTGGCTGATGTAGCTGAGTTCTAACTGAGGGATTTCTAAACATTATAACACACTGCCACAAAGAGATCCCGGCCTTGGCTCTCATTTGAGACAGTATAGCTGCCAAGTGCTCTGCCAAGATGAATACCTCTGATGCAAAGTGGGATTTTACACATTAGTCTGGTTAGGACACTATACGGAAAAGGCTGGTCTGTGGTCAGGGCCTGAACTGACTTTTCTGCAGTGCACAGATTTAATGTAACAGCCCAGTGCAACCTCCTTGAGTTATTACTGAAATTATGAATCTAAAAAGCAACTGGGTTGCCACAATGGCCTGTGGCATCTCTGAGGAGCGGACAGGGGGCTTGCTGCTTGTACATTTTAAAATCAATTCATAAAGTCGTGCCAGAGATGCACTACAGAAGGACGGAAGGTTACTTCAGAGATGACAGTCTAATGTGCTCTAATATATCAAGCTTAATTGCAAACACTTAAAACATACCTTGTCTCCTTTAACTCCTGGGTTTCCTGGTGCCCCATGCTCTCCCGGTAAGCCCTGGAATTAATAAAAATACAACTGTACATTTTTATAGCTATTCCCTGAAAGATTACCTAAAAGTACACACGAAAATGAGTTTGCACTTGATTATTTACTGTGCATAGGTATTGACCCAAAATGTTAAAAAGAGCACAAGTTAATGAATGCTTCTTTCATCAAAGATGTGAATAATTTTTCTTTAAACTGAAATGTAATAAACAAGATTATTTTCTTGATCCCATGAGGGCAGAATGGCAGAGAGTGACAGGTTTATTTCTTCAATTTCAAAATAATTCCAAGTCTTGAAAATCAATCATTTTTCAAGGAAGGCAGTAGCAGGTACAAACTTGAGTTTTAAATCAATGTCTCACCTTTTTTGCCTATGAAGGGCTGCATGATTTCCTACACTAGTTATTATTCAAATTATTATCTTAAAACAATCAATGAATTCTTACTCTTGCACATTATTTAATCCACCAAATTCCTTTAAAATGCTTTCAATATTCAATGGACAATAAAGTATTTCCAGCAAAATAAACATATTCTATCCTTTCTTTTGTCTAAATCTTCTCATCTTTCACATTTGATTTTAACTTCAGTATCTTCCTTTGCCCTTTTCATGAAGGATTTGTTATAAATGCAGAGAAATGAAATAGATCAAAATCTAACTAGAAACTATTTAAACAATAGGGAAGGTTAAATGGTGTTCTCTTACTACACTGTAACAAATAAAAGAAACTTCTTTCATAACCCTTCAATGCTACTCAGCCAACTATAAATCAAGCATTTTATTAGGAATACCAGTAATTTCCACAGCAAATGATAATTTTGTTATAACTGAACAGCAAAATCTAAGTATGATAATTAATCCAGAGTGAAAAATGAGCTTTCTATGAAAAAGACAAAGAAAAATCTATTGTTGTTATTTTTCATTGCATTATGTCTGACATAGGAAGGGTGACTACATTTTCATGCCAGTAGTAAGGGTTCCACAGCTGTGTGTTCACTTTCTCTGTTGCGTTCTGTTCTTAAGACAGACAGACTGCTACTTCTCTCACTCAGCCAGCCAAATTTAAAGCATGAGAAGAAAAAAAATGGACCTTAACGTAGAATATTCTTATACGAACACAAAATAATTATAAGAATATATGGGAGTTCAAACTTCCAGATTTTTGATCAGACATCATGTCCTACCTTATTCCCTTTCGATATCAACATAAAATATATGCAGTCTATATTCCTTCCTAAGGATTTCCCTGATTTTTTTTTGTTGGACCAAGCTTAAGGGGTACCTTAGGAAAGGAAAGAAGCAAGTCTTATCTGCTGGACGACTCATTGATGAAGTGAAAGTAAAACAACCTTTCATAATTTTCATCATGCTCCATAAAATGAATTATTGTATTTGTAAATCCATAATGTTTCATCTTTATAAGATAAAACAAAACAATGAGCCTAGAACTATATACATATTTCTATAATATGCTTAGATATATGTTTTTATATATTAGAATTCTGTGTACAAGTCTTCAAGATCATGTATATCTACATTGTATTTCTCTGTTCATAATGTCACTTGATCACAGATCCAGGAGAACAGCAGTTTCAAAAGCAGCAGTTGTGACCTCAAGTGTGATGATGGCAACACAAACAAACAAGAAATATAGTATTTTGTTATCTTTCACAGTAAGATTTGGGATCTCGATATAAAGATAAGCACAGCAGAAAAGGCTTACAAACTACTGTTATAGAAGACAGGTAAATTAGACATGATTTAAAACATGTGTTCCTCAACTGAGTAGGAAAATAAGGTATAAAGAAACAGTCAGCCAGTTACACAATACAAAATGACAACATGAAGATTCGAATACTAGTTTTTTTTCCCTGCCAGGAGCTGAAGATGCTGTACTCCAGCTGTCACTTTGCTTATATCCCTAAGACTTTAATAGGTCAACAATAAACATCTGCCAGCTGTGTACCAGTCAGAACTGTATTTTAACATTAATAAAGTATATGACGTATAGTCTGTACAGATTGAGTTCTCTTCCACAAAGCAGTCTCAGAGCATGTGTGGAAAGGCCTAAACTAAAATGCAGCAACACCAACACCTAGATGCTTCTGTTTGTAGAAATAAGATCAAAACCAAGCCACTGAGCAAAGATCAAAATCCCAGTTGTTTTTAGTGAATGACTTAACCGCTAGACTAAAGCCACACTCTCCACTGTCTGCTTTTCTTGGTCTACTTCTTGGATCTAGCCACTCAAACCTCCAAAACGGTACTTAAAAAACATTTTATGGTTTACAAATGAAGGGAGGGAGAACCAGGGAGGGGGAGTAGGTGCCACTTGTTAGGTTACTGTGACAACACCACTGTTGTGGACCAACACCTAATTTCAGTTTACATGGGGGATTAGGTAGAACATAGTTGTTTGTACACCTAAAAGGGATTTGGAAGAACCACTGAGATGAGAGGTCCCTGGCAATTGTTTCCATGCATCTCCCTGATCTCCACAACCTTCCCCCCTGCTCCAGGACCTTTCCTCCAGCCAAGATCTTCCCCTTCTTTCTTGACAGAACACCTCTTTCCTTTCAGGAACCTTTCTGTTTTGGCACCACTTCTTCTTTTGGGTATCCTCACCCCTTGGTTCTTACCATCTAAAATCCTCTACATGCAGAAGCACAACAGGTGATCAGCTTCCACACTGGTCAGTCTGTCTCATGTCTCTATTATCTGGAGACCATGTACCACTTTGGCTTAGTTCAGGTACTATCAAAATTTAAAATCAGCCCCCACTGTTGCGTCTAAGAAGTAGCAGGCTTCTGCTTGAGAGTTCAACAGTTCAGATTTTGACATTCTTGCATGGACACACAACATATTATCTGCCACCTGTCAGTGTCCACAAATTAAGCGACTTTTCACCTATGGCAACTATATAATGGCTATAGGCACTTTATGACTGTCAGTAAGTCCCTGCACAATTAAACCGAAATAGGAACCAACAGTCGTAAGAATAATCTCTCATTCCATTTTCTGCAGAAGTATTTTAGTAATTTAATTTATTGAACAGTAATTAAAAAAGATGTTTTCTTTAAATTCTTTCCAACCAATACTTCTACTCTGGCTGAAGATTTTAATATTGTCCCTAGTTTTAAACAGAATTATGTCTTGCTCTGAATAGGAACTTCACTCTTAAATCTGACCTAAATTCTAAGATAATAAACATAATTGTTTATTCTATTCACCTTCTTAATCTTTATCCCTTTTACAGGAAGGAAAAAAATTCAGAATAATATAAAACCATAGCCAGAAATAAGGAAGGCGATGTATTTAAATCCTTGGGGGACTCTTACTTTCCCTGTTTCTTCTAATTTTGCTCCGCATACACTGTCCTTTCCAGCTCACGATGCAACATTATTAAAACTTTGCTAGAGATTTTTTAAATTTTCACCTATTCTTGTGAGATGAGTGGTTTTTGTAAAGCTGATTGTGAATCAGACAAATTAGTATCACTATTCTTAATTGTTCAGATGGTAAAACAAAGACAAAAAGGACATAAGCAAATGGCAGAACTCTATCCTGAGGCATGCAAACTACACTGCTTCGACACCTAATTGCTATAGTACCACCCACAAAAGGAGCACCTATGGTAGCTACTGTGGTACTGCTTCACACTCCACACTTGTACAGCTTGGTGAAACTGCACAATACATACAACTTCTCCTGGCAGCCCCCTGGGTCCGACAGGTCCTGGAGGTCCTTGCAGTCCCTGTGAAATGATAGAACACATGCTTGAGGTAAAAGTCAATGCACCTGTTGTAATTTGGTGTAAACCATTCCCATACATTAATAGATTAAAACATCTGGCATTAAGAATTATCTTCTGCATGGAGTGAGAAGTAGAAAGTTTGCTCATTCTCCCTTAATATAATGTTTAGTCCAATAAATCTTTGGGACTAATTTGTACAAAATCCAAAGTATGTAAACAAAGTAAATACAAGTAAAACCAAAGGCACTACCTAAAGTGAAAGACAAAACAAAAAGAGTAAAGAAAGACTTCCTCATTCAAGGACAGATATAGAAATGTTTTTTTTAACTATGTGGTAGGTGTTCCTTCTCTTTTTGGAATAGATCTCATCAGAAGGCCTCCAGAGCACCGAGAGAAAAGGGGATTGAGATGCTGAGATAAAAGGATGACTTGGTGGCAACCCTAGTGATCCTCTGGATCTCTCTAAGCCTCTTCTACAAGTTACACAGTGTGAAGATGACCTAGATTTTTGCTGCAGTAATGACAATTATGTCAGTAGCTCCTACCAAGGAAGGACATGAGGCTCCAAAAAGCAGCCTAAGGAGTCAGAGTCAAGAATGATTTTTTAAAAATCAGTTTTATGAACCCTATAGCTGCTTCTGTTCCCCCAGGATTTCTTTAGCTGATCTGAGAAACTTGGGTACTATCACATCCAATATGAACAGTGGTTCATAGTTTCCAATTCTACCTTTATTTGATACAACTCAAGGCATCATGAGAGCTTCTCAAGAACATCTGTGCTTCAGCTACTTCCTTCAAAGCAAGGCAATGACTACTTTGACATTGTTTGCAGTCTCATGGGATTAAACATAGGAACCGCTAATGTACTGGCAGTGGCTACTCCTTGCCTGACTGATGGATAGAGAATACACCCAGCTACCGGTGGATTTTTATTTGCAAAATGGGTGCTTGTATTCTTGAGTAACCAAATAATATTTGAGCTTTGCATAAATATTCTCTGTTGACTGATGCTGAGATCAACAAGAATTTTATGAAGTAAAATATTCATGATTCATGCACAAAATTTTGATAGAAACTATTTGCATTCTCTCCCCTTTAATACTAGCTAAAGTGATGATAGCAATCAGAGTCTTCTTATATAACAGCACAGAATGTTATGGCTGTTAATATTACAAAAATACCTTTTATTACCTTTGATCCTGGATTTCCAATAAGACCAGGTGGTCCAGGGTCTCCTGTTTCACCCTAGTAATGTTGAGAAAATAAAAAAATCCAAATTTACTATTATGTCTACCAGTATCAGCTATGTACACCAGTGATGTATGTAGTGTGTACAAGTCAAAAAATACCTTATCTCCTTTTGATCCCTCCAGTCCAATTTCTCCCTGAAAATAGCAGGTACAACCATAAGAAGTAAAGATTTTAACTCAGATCAAGTAACACTTTAATTTGCTACATTATAATATTATAATATAGTTTGCAAACTTAACAAATATTGACAAAGCATTAAAGAACTTCTGATGCCTTGTGCAAAATCTGAAAGGCATTCCTCTTTCAAACTAATTCTGTTTGCAGGTTTTCCTAGTGCTTTAAATTTAAGTTTTTTTGAAAACCCCACATTTGCTTAAGAGTTTCTCCAGTCTAAAGCCTATTCTTCACCACTAAACCTCTACTAGTTACATGGTATTAATCTCCAAAACCACACATTATTACAGTATGCCTTATTGTGGTTGTTATATGTTAATCACAAGTATCTGAGCAACCTTCAGTTGTGTATTAAACAACATAACTAGCTTTTGTTAAATGTTAAAAGAGAGGACAATAGTTAATTAAAAATAAGCATCACATATAAACAGACTGTTGCAGTCATTCTCTTCTGAATGTGTTCTGAAAATATCCCCAAAATAGCAAAGAAGTTATGCACACTTAAAATGGCAATTAGAAAACTGACTGATATTAAGTACCACACTGGAAACTGGTAAAACAATAAAAATAATACAGTTCAGCGCACATCTAATTTTGTGAAAAACATTAAAGAAAGAAAGAACCTTCAGGGAACAAAAAAAGCATGTACTTTAAACACAGTTGTGGGATTGTACCGATTACAGAAATGCTGGAGAAGAGGGCACCTCTGCTTTTTATTTATAACCTATGTGAACTTGATGCATGTGCAAGAAGGAGACAATACAGATGCTTTCCTACCTCATCACTGAATCTAATGAAAGTGTAGAAAGAAAAGAACTGCAATCTCAATACAGTTTGAAAATCAGATAAAATGTAAATTATTCACATCATCAGTTCAAAACACAGCTATACTTACTGGATCTCCTTTGTCCCCTTTTTCAGAAGGCTCTCCCTATGGAAACATAGGGAAGAGGTTAACACAGATTTATTTCAAATGGTAAATAATACATATGTCTGGTTTTGGTGAAGTGTCCTTGAAAAATGCTGGGGTTGTTTTTAAACCTATATAAAATATATGGACTACAAAAGATTACTTGAGAGATGATATTTATCTATAGACAAGACCATGACATGCATGATCCTTTCAAGCGGGAGCACAAGGAAGGGTCAAGAACATGAACTACAGAGAGTGACGATGTGCACAAATCTGACAAATTCTCAAACAAAAGTGCTTTATAGCACACAAAATCATGAATCTGTCATATCAAAAGAGTAAAAAAAAGTTTCTGCCTGTATGAAAAATGTTTATACACAACTAAAGACTAAAGAAACCAAGTGGAAGCCTAAGAGCTGAAGAGCAAAATGGCTGTTATTCAGTGGATGAAGAAGTGGGTGCATAACACGTTACTAGAAAAATAGAATACACACCTATTACCCAGTAACATCCCTTGCCCCCAAATCTTTCTGGAAAATTAAGTTAAAACTAAAAGATATTAAATTGGGAAGTTTATAAATCAACTTTAATAATTTAAAGACATGTTTTTTTCACTTAGATATTGAAGATCACATTTGTAACTTTAAAAAGTATGAATGACGTCTAATTTGTGAGGCAATCACTAGTCATAAACTTATATAAACATAATTTTAAACTGATATTCAATAGAAGTCTGAATGTGTTTAAAGGTAAGCACTTTGTGAGCTGTTGGAACAGGAAAATAGGCTTACATACATAAATACTCTCCCCAAGGAAAGGCTTGAGTAAATTACTAAGGACATTCAGAGGCTGACAGCTTTCTTATACCACAATATATTTTCTTGATCCTGAGTTTATTTTCCAGAATTTCATTCATAATCAGTACATTCAGCCACCTTCTAGTATCACACATAAGCACAGAACTAAGGAATTAATTTACCTTTTCTCCTTTTGTGCCGGTCATTCCCAATTCTCCTTTTTCACCCTTTTAACAAAATAAATGGCATTTAAAAACTTTTATATTCTAACAGATGCAAATAGACTCCTCCTCTCCTTCAACTGTATTTGTTCTGTGTAGGCCACAAAATCTTAACTTTTATTGCAATGGAAATCTGTATTTTAAGCATCTGCCTATTAACTGAAATGACTTTTATATAGCAGATCTGCAGGCTTCTCAAGAGAAAACACTGTCAATCCTGTGACATATCAAGAGCATGTGCCTCTTTTCTTCCAAGTTTAAAAGGCATACAACTGTCAAAAATTTATTCCATGGTTTAAACAGGACAGATGCCTATAAACAATGTATTGTCATATGGTGTGGATTCAGAATTTGACCTTCATTTAAGTTTTAGAGGCTGACTTCAAGTATTTTCAGTATGGCAAGTCCCATCATTACAGAGAACCTGTTTAAATATTCATGATATACAATTAAAAATATTTTCTGAATTTCAACTTTTTTAGTCTTTTCCCCCCTACCTGGCAAGGACATTTGACTTGTCCTCAAATAGTGTGAGAGAAACCACAGGTTTCTTTCTGCATTTTCCCTTTCTGGTTATCATAAATTAGAGGAGAAATGCTCTATGGAGAAATGAGAAATTTCCATATGAGAAATGCAACTGGACTATGCAGATCAAGAGCCAGTCATATCTAAAATCTATTCCTTCAAAGACCATTGTGATAAATCAATTAAAGGATACTGTGTTAAGGGTGGCAGAGCCAGGTTAGATAGGGACTTCGGATTTTCTCCAAATTCATCCAAAATGCTTACAGTGTCTCCCTTCTGGCCTTTAGGTCCAGGGGTCCCAAGTAATCCTAGTAGTCTTGTATCACTCTGGGAAGAAATATCACCACAAAGGTCAGAGAACAGACCATGTCACCATTTATTTACAATAACAATTTATTTGCCGTAACAGTTTTATGTAATTTACCAGTGTGTAAACTCAGAAGTTCTAATTTACTACTAGAAAGGGACACTAAATGCCTATGCAGTACTTCTAAGTAATGTATTGCAGCAACACATCCATTGTCATGCATTCATACTCCAGCCAAACTAGCAGAAGATGAACTACAGCATAAAAGGGACCTGTCTATGTTGAATATTGCTATGCAAGTCTGTGATTTTTTTTTCCTTAACTCAGTGAAAAGAACATATTTTTATGCTCATTATTACAGTACATTTTTCAAGCACGATAGAAGAAAAATCACTTCTATGACAAGAACACAAAGCTTTTTTGAGCAACGTGAAATGTGAAATAGAATCAATTTAACTCTACTACAGTAGTGAGAATGAATATGATCAACAGTGTCCTCACACCGCTCCTCAAAGAAAATAGAGAGAATTAAGGACCAGGGGTTCAGGTTGCATACTTGCTCAGGTATTATTGTACTACATCTATTTACTCTTCTGTACAATGTAAAGCCACAGAAGCAAACGGTTTCCTCTTCACAAAGCCAGGCTCAAACTACCTAAGGGGAACACCTTTTCTTTTAATGAAAATGGAAAAAGCCACAAAGCCAATGACCCTGAAATACGAGCTTGAGTTTGGACCCAAGGAGTCCAAGTCCTAGAACATCTGCCACTGGGCTGAGTGGGAACCCTGAACAAGCCAACTCCCCTGGCCATGTTCCAGTTTCCATATATCTAAAATGGGAAAACATCATGATTGAAAGTGCTATTTACACTCCATTAATATTTTCAGAAGTAACCTAAATAAAATGCATAATTATTTTATAAATGTTAATGTCCCAAAGGATCTTCTCCAGTGCTTAGGGTTCGTAACAGTGCTACTACCTGAATTATCAAAATCAGCTACAGAGCAAGAGGCAAGTGCCCAAAGAAGGGAACCTGAGTATTGCTGAGAAGGAGTTGACTACCACATGACTGAGAACAACCTAGGTGTCTGTTATGAATATACTATAAGTTATGATTTATTCTGAGTTGTGCATTTCTTTTGCATACCTGGAGGAAAAAAAGGGTATTAGAACAAATAATGACTTTTACACTCTTTGCATATTTATAGGTCATTTGCTCCTTACAACAAAATGTAAGTAAAAAAATGCCAAAGATTTTAGAAAAATAATAATGAGCTATTCAAGAACGATCCTTAATTATTATGAATTATAATGATTTAAAAACATTTCCTGAGCAGATTCTGATGTAGTTTCAATAGCTTTATGTTGTGATTTCCTTTTTATTTTTGCAAGTCAGAGAATATTTTAGGTTAAACCAATATTTTACGTCCTTTCCAAAGATGTTTAGAAGCAGGTTTAGCTGAAGTGACCTTGTATGTATGTACAGAAATCTGGTAAGTAGAAAAAGATGACAAGCAGAGGCCTTGAAAGCCCAGACAAAGGATGATAACAGAGGCCTGAGAGCATACGAACACAAATCGTGAGGCATCATGTACCACTCACTGAAGGAACATAACCTACAGAGCAGGGCAGAACCAGTTTGTTGGCGTAACAAAATGTATCGAACACATGCAAAGCATCTCATTTACACTGAAAGTGCAAACAAAGGAAGTAACAAGAATATAAAAATAATCACACACTTGACAAGAACAGACACAGAGGAAGAACAATGAGGGCAGAAATGCTCCAGCACTGTCCCTCATCCCACTAAGGATCAATGCTACTACTTATCCTTAGCAGGTTCCCCTCACCTTCATTAATGAAGGACTGCTGATCTTGGTTTGCCATTCAGCACAATTTGCTGCTGCAATCAGCAATTGTATTTATAGTGCTCTCTTTCACTGTATACATGGATCAAGGAAATTATGCTTTAAAGACTTCCACTCCAGCCTCCTTACACGATAAGGTGATTGATACTGAGCCAGAAAAAGCTTGCTTGAAACAAATTCTTTAAAGACATAGTGCAATTACAACTACTCATCAGAAGAATCACAAATCATCTGCTGAGAAACAGAGAAATTATCGAAAAAAAGAGATTATTAATTATGATGGTTCTTAAGATCTCTCTCACTGTCCCCCACATTTCTTGGTAGCAGCTTCTCATGATTCTTTGAAAAACCAATGCAAACGAGCCATACTAATATCCTCAGAAAAACAAACAAACAAACAAAAGATATTAAAATGTCTATAGCAACAAGAATGTGGTCACAATTCAAACACTTCATAAAACCAAACTGAAAGAATACCTTGTGAGATCCTTGGGAACATGCATAAAATGTTGGAAAATGACAAGACACTTTCCTGTGGTGTAAGGAATCTCAAAACCTCAGAATATCACTGAAATATCATCTTACAAATGCAAATAATTGAGGCACATTGCAAAAATACTGGAACGTGAAAGATTGCTTAGTAACTCCAAGGTGCAGTGAATAAAACCAGTATTCATCACGCTACATAATACTGGGGGAAAAACAGGAAAGCTACTGGTGCACACATCCTCCTAAATAAATAATCAATGGGAAAGCAGACAAGCTGTCCTTGTCTTTAATGATCTCTTTGATGTCTCTGTCTTGCCCTTGATGGGAACATCCCATTCCTATCATAAAATGTATAAAAACTAGTATGTTTGCTGTAGCAGTCGGAGACTTAAGTTGATTCTATGAAGATCTGAACATGTAGAAAATTTTCATATTTAAAATCTGCTACTTGCATCGGAAAGTCATCTCCTCTCTCACCTGAAACCAAACAGTATTTTCTTGTTGAACAGTTAATTGCTCATAACAGAGTCATTAAAATCTTCAAATTTGACAGCTGAAGGAAGAAGAAAGTTGGTAAGCTGTATGGGATTTAAAAGATGATTTATTTATAGACACAGAGCAGCTGGTCAACATTCTTTCCAGAATATTGTTAATTAGGAAATATAAGACACCTTAAGAAGTCTTAGAGCCTTTCAATGATAAGAAAATGTGATTTTGGAGACAGATGGTTTCCAGTTCCTGAAGATCACCACTGTTTGTATTTCCTTCTGCAGAATTAACCTTAAAGGGTCTATCAGAGTAAAAGAGATTAATCGTCCAGAGATGGGGAATGAGTTACAATAAATCTAGTATTGATGGAGGAAACAGGGCTGGTATCCATGAAAGCTGTCTTTGGCAGGAAAAAGAAACTGGTAAGAAAACAAAAGGTATGAACCTAAAACATAGAACACTTCATATGAAATGGCAGACCAAACCCCAAAACTAGGTGTCCAGGTATGAAAATGTCCCAGTCCAGGACAGCATATAGAACTATGCTAATTCCTAATACATGTTCTAAGGTGATATACTGATCTGGAATGGATTAAACAACAGAAATATCAGAGAAATCAGCTCAGTGATAAAGGCAACTGGAAGGCTATATTTGACATGATTTTCTCTCCAGATTCCCTATTCAAAAAAAGATTTAATTACTCATCTGTTATATAAGACAAATAACCTAAATTCACCTTCTCTTTATAGTTACGCATTTTAATATTACAAGAAGTGGATGTCTTCCAGGTTTGCCCTGCATGACTTACTGTGTGACACACGCGGTAACCTTTGTATTAAGCAAATATTCCTGTAATAGTGCTCCATTAGTCTTCGAATGAAATACAGTTTTCTAATCAGGTAAGTTAGTATTCACTTTGGCATCAATTAAGAAAACTTGTGCGATCTCTGAATTATAGTCTCTTACAGTGGGAGACACTACCACCGCTTTAATGACTTGAAAAATCTGTGGTAAGAATTTAAAAGCCCTGTCACATAGAACAGTGTCCTATACAATTTCAACTGTTTTTCTATGAAGTGCTTGTAGCTGCGGAAGGTTCTATAATTAAGTCAGTATTTTTATTATTCTATAATGCAAACATCAGGATAATTCTCATGGATTGCCAACAGCTCTTTTAAAATTATGCCTCCTTGTCTTTCTATTCTACTCAACATCATGACGGAGTAGGTCAGAAAAGAAGAAATGTCAAGTACAGTTTAGAACAATTGGGTTCAGAAATGGGAAGCTGGTGCTTTAGGCTAATGG